ATATATATATATATATATATATATATATATATATATATATATATATATATATATATTAAGGTGATCCTTATTTTTCGACTTTCAAATTTTTTCTGTGGCACCCTCCAAAAAGTTTCCATTTGACAAAAAAGAAATTCCTGCCAAACTATTGCTCGATCGGATAACAAGAACCCGTGTTCCCGTGTCGTTAAACATTGGAGTACCCTTGTATTAAGCTGTCTACATTATCAATGATTTCTAAAGGATGTTTTCCACAAAATCACTTTAGAGGACTTTTTTTCTTTCTATATCGTTTGAGATCTTATAATCTTATTTAAACAATTAAATAAATTGTTGATGACTAAAAAATAAAAATAAATGGTTATTACATTTATTGTTTAAGTTACAACAAATCATGTATGGACTATAAAAATTGGAATAGTATATTTGGAGGACAATATAAATGTAAAACATGATACCTTTCATGTTCTTATTAATAAATAAATTTTTTTAATTAAATATTACATAATAATTAATAATCTCGTGGCTCCTAAACTTATGCTGGGAGAGGACGATAGATGTATAATACCTAGGCCGCGGGTTCGCAACGTTTCCCATTGTCTGTACGCATCAAACAATATAAAGAAACAGCATTTTTTCGGTAAAAAGTCTGTCTTTTTCTAACGAAGGCTGCTTTATTTCCGCCACAAGACTACGATAAGTGGTGGGAATAGAAATCTTCGTTAGAAAGAGACAGACTTTTTACCGAAAAAATGTTACTGACAAAAACCTTTTATAAAAAATCTAACAAAAACCTCAATTAAAAACCTCTATAAATAGTTGTATAAAAAAGCAACCTAACATTTTTTTTATCCAAAAAATTATAAAAAATAAATTCATTTAAAACATATGAAATCAGTAAAATGATCCAAGTACATAATTCATTATTATCAAATTAGAATAGATTATAATTAATAATCCATTATTACTAAGTTATAATAAATATGACTGATATAAAAGACCAATATATAAAAATCAAACTTATATATCAAATTCATAACAAAAAAAACATTTTTATACATAATAACCAAAGTAAGTACAAAAACTTGGAGGATCCGGGTTGTATTAAAACAAGCACATATGCGTCTTTTCTCCTCCCCGCCACAGACACATACACATTTTAAATTTTTACAGTGAAGACTAATATTCAAAATACGACCTGAGCATATCAAATTTTTGTACTTTACTTTGATTATTATGTATAAAAATGTTTTTCTTTTTGTTATGAATTTGTTATATAAGTTTGATTGTTATATAAGTTTGATTTTTATATATTGGTCTTTTATATTAGTTATTGTAACTTAGTAATAATGGATCATTAGTTATAATCTATTCTAATTTGATAATAATGAATCATGTACTTGGATCATTTTACTGATTTCATATATTTTAATTAAGTTTTAGTTTTTATAATTTTTTTGATAAAAAAAGGTTGCTTTTTTACACAATTATTTATAGAAGTTTTTAATTAAGGTTTTTGTTAGGTTTTTTTATAAAGGGTTTTTGTTAGGTACAAATTACTCGGCTTTATATACTTGCGTATTTTTTACTTTTGTAAGGTCTTTTTGTTTTTAGGATAACACAGCTTTTTGCTAAGAAAATCTTATTATGTTTATTCCGCGAAGAATATTGTAAAAAAGAATTCTGCAAAATATAATTCTGAAGAAATAATATGTTTAAATGGTCCACAAAATATATCCATATCATTTACGGATTACGACGAGAGACATTCTGCTGCGCGTGTCAGACATACTTTAACTTTTTGTGTAGTTTTATATAAAATTGGCTTCATTTGCAGAATACAAATCTTTTTGGTATAAAAACACCATTTTGCTATACGCTCAGCTTTCAATCTACTTTCAGACGATGTTTTTCAACAAATTTTATTATATTTCTCTTATATATTTTTCTCCAGTATATTGCATTTTTATATTATTATTTGTGAACATAATATATTTGTTTAAAAAATATTATTTCATATAATAATGTTTTCTTTATTGAATAAACATTTCTTTTATAAAGTTTCTTTGATAAAGTAATTATAAATATATTTTTACTATAAATATAAAAAGAAGTAATAAAAGTATATATAATACTTACATCTTCATCGTTCGTCACGTCATGATTCTCTCTCTTTTCCATTTTCCAGCACTCGATTCTTATAGGACATCATTTTTAGTTTATTTTTTAATTGTTAATCTCAGAGCTTTTACATACAAATCTATATTATATATGATTAGCAACTCGACATTACCGCGCTGTTTGATATACGTATTTCAATATTTCAATATTTCAATATCTCAATTATTAATTACATCGGACACATTTAAAACGATATATTACAGCGCTATCATACAAATAAATATGATAGAAATGCGTCAT